CTCAAGGTAAGCCTTCGAACTTCACATCATTGTGCCCTAAGGACACACAAAAGTGCAAACCAAAAACTATTTAGTCTTCTTTGGGCTGTGAACTTTTGATTGAGAAGTAATTACAGGTTTGCTCAACCTACGATCAATTTGGCCACGGATTAAATATCGTATTCCTCAGCAATTCTCATAATGGACGAGTGTGTATCGAGCAGTGGAAGTACTCAAAAGTGCGTTTACATCACTGTTATGGAAGAGCCATAATCTAAAGCGTGGTAATGTATCCTCGTAATCTCATTGATACGAGCAATTACCAAAAACTTATATTTTTGCTAATTATGTTTTGTGGAATGGTCGAATCGCAAACATTAGCAACATCGTCGCACTCTTTTATTGAGCTGTTCATTTCTGATTTCAAGCATAGGACGGGAGGTACCTCCAAGGGGGGATTGCTGCCTTTTATGGTTAAGTTAAGCCAAGCTATGACTAAGTCACTCAGTAAACTTTTTGCCGTAGCGGTCCATAATCCAACCATTCCCGAATCCAACCATTCGTGTTTGTTCAGTAATAACGTATGTCCTGTATGCCACCGTCGCTTCGACAAAGGGAAGCAACTGTATGGACACTTGTTCCAAAACCATGGGTTCACCAAACAGGATCTGGAGAATTATAAAGCAGAGAGGCAAATGAAGATGAAGCCACAGGCTTCCAACCTTTTCAACTGCGCCAAGTGTGACGCAAAATTCACAAGAGCTGATGCGTTACGACGTCATGGTCGAAGAAAACACATGGATACGTATGCTTACCGCATAACATGTTGTTTATGCGATGCAAAAGTGGCGGTAAGTCGCAACGCATGAGATAGAGGTCTAATTCGAGTTTTGGCTTCAGAATCATCGCCAGCTAGTAGCACATGCTCACATAGAGCATGCTATAGATGACGATGACTATTCCGTTCACAAAATCACATTCAGCAACGTCAGTGCTTACAAGGTTGAAGAGTTTCTAGTCTTGTTTTGAAAGTGTTATTGTTGACTTAAGGAGTGGAAACTGTTGTCCGAGGAGGCCA